TTCATATATATATATAATAAAAGCCAATTATGTGGACATTCACTAGGCATTTCATTGATTTAGATTTTTCAGTGGTCCTTTAATATTGATGAATTTTTGCTGCATTTTTGTGAATCCAGCCTGTCTCTACCTAATAATTATACTATCTAATAATAAATCTGATAATTATTTTCCGTTGGTTCTTCTATTTTTACATTTTAATAGTGCTTCCTTATTGTCTTTTTTAATTAAAGAATAATTTCATTTCCATGTGTTAATACCATGAGCTAGGGGTTTCCCCAATTCGATTAAAACAAAACTGTGATCTGACCATGGATTTTCTTTGATTTGTATTTTATTTATAAAAGGAATAGAATTAGCTTTAACTAAACACGTCTATTCTTGAATAAGATCCATGTGCATTTCATAAATGAGTATAATCCCTATCTAATGGATGTAAAGTTCTCCACACATCATACAATTCAAAGATTCCACATATATTATTTCATTTAAAAAAATTTTTTTAATTATTTAAGTTGTTTTATAACCCTTTTGTCAATTTTAACAGGGGTTTGGGATATTTTATCAGTTTTATAGTCTAGTACGCAATTAAAATCACCAGCTATAATTAATTTGCCTTTAGATATTTTCTGGACTCTTTCCATTATCTTATAAAATAACGACATGGGATTAATATTGGGTGAATATAAATTTACTAGAGTGAATATCCTATTATTTATCTTACAGACACTTATTAGATATCTGGCTTTTGGATCAACATCTTGATAGATTATATCTACTTTTATATCACTTGAGAAGATGATTGCTACACCCCTTTCTTTTTCCAAAGAGGCTTGTAGTATTATTGGGTATGTCATCCCTCCCCATTTTTGAGATATATTTTGTTGCCAATGGGTTTCTTGTATAAAACCTATTTAAATTATTTCCTCATTGAGAAAATTATATATCATCCGCCTTTTTGCTGGTGTATTTAAACCTTTATGCATTTATTGACATTAACTTAAACATTGATAGCATAAACACTTCCAAATAATTGAGCTCCTGGTCTGATTACTTAACAAATATTACAACATTCAACACATACTGGAGAGATACTCTCTTGATCACCAATTACATATAAAACATTATACTTCTAGGAACTGTGTTCCATAATTTTCTCTGTAACTCATTTGAGCTACAGGGCAAACTGTGTAGTAATACCACACAAAGTGGGGTGAACCCTTTTGGAGTGGATAAATTAATTTTATTCGTTGTTTTACCTAGTCTAATACTTTTACCTAGAGGAAGGGAGGGGGAAAAAAATGCTTTAAAACACTCTTCCCCTCAGATCTTAAAGTGATATAAGTGTTTCTTTTCTCCTTCCCTATTATTTATCGTGAAAATCTATACGGTTAACTTTACATACATTTAATATATACTTATAATTCACTGGTTTTGTGATTCATTATTTCCTTTATCTAACTTTCTTATTTAATTAATTACTCCCAGTTACTTGTGAATTTAAAGAGTTAACCTATTTTATGTGTATTCATAATTCATACTACAATTATATTACTAATCTCGCCCTCTCCCCCCCCTCCCCACCTTATTAATTCTGTTTCCCTCAGCACCCTTCACCCTTAAGTGGGGAAAAAAATGTATACTAAATTCTTAAATAATTCACCTTACCCTTTTCCCCCCCTCCCATTGGTTTAACCTTCTATTTCCCCTCTCTCTCTCTCTCTCTTTCCTCCCCCTCTTCCTTCCCTCTCTCTTTTTTTTTTTTTAGACTAATTTCTTATTTTTTAGCCATTCCTTCACCTTTTCATTTGAATCAAATTATTCAACCTGGCTCTTGTATGTAATCATCATTTTCATTGGAAAGCTCCATCCAAATGTTTTATTTTTTTTATAATTCTTTATTCCACAGTCAGACAAAGATCAGCATAATAGTAAACAAATATAAGGGAATACAATAATGTGCATATTATACTGATTTCCAGTTAAGAGTAAGTAGTCAGACTTTTTTTTTTTTTGCAGAGTAATCAACAATTGTGTACAGACAATAGAGAGTTGATAATTTTGTAAGATAAAACAGTAGAGGTTCAAGTAGATTCTTAGAGAACCTGAAATTACATTGGGAAGCATAACTTGTATGGAGGACAGCTCCACAGTTTTGGGTAATGTAGGGTATGAAATGATTTGACCTGGAGGGTGTTGGTGTTCCTCAGACCTAGAATAGTCGGCATTATCCCGGTCTCGACTTAGGTCGTCCGGCTGATCGTGGCCTTGGCATAGAGCAAATACTGCAGAGCGTCCAGAAAGGTGCAAACTGGAAAAAACAATGTAGATAGCTTAGGGCAGACCCTATCATTTTAGGGTATTTGCTGCATTTGTTGTGCCTTGGGTCACTGGGACACAGGGAATGACTTTAGCAGGATCCAAAACAGTGATGGTGGTGGGCTGGGGGCAGACAACTAGGCCCAGTGTAGACCGGATAGTGTCCATCTCTGAGGCATCTGATACCTTGAGCTCTGTGTCTCAGTGCAGGATAGTAAGGTAGCGAGGAGATCCCCATTTGTATTTTAGGCTATTGGCGGTCAGGATTAGGCCATTGGCGGTCAGGATTGAAGTGAGAGGTCGGTGAGTCTTCCTCCACTGTAGGGTACTGCGGGAGAGGTCAGAGAAAAAAGTGAGATCAATCTCCTCAAACTTGTACGGCGTCTTCCCACTGGTCATGTTCAGTAAGGCGGCTTTGTCCTGCCCGCTCTGGAATTTTACCAGAAGATCGCTAGACGCTGCCGCCGCGCTCGGGTGAGGTTTGGGCAGTCGGAACATGCCATCAAGTGTTATGCCCTTTGCTTGTTTTGGTGGTACTATAGCTGCAAAAGAGCCTGCGGAGGAGATGTGGCATTTCTGCCATGGTGATGCTTTCTGATATGTTTCGTCTTGCATAGCAGCAACAGAAATAAAACAGGAGTCTTTTTCTCTCAACAAGGAACTCTTCCTTATTAATGTCATCATGTTTTTTTGTTGACATTCGTATTTATTATTCAAAATAATTGATATAGTAAGGAAGGCATCTCATGGGTGATTTCTTGGATAACTCTGTCCAGTGAAAAAACATTTCTCTCCTCAACTCAGTTTCGCATGACAATTGAGCATCTCATGATTCTTATTCACCTGCCATCAGTTTCTTCTTTCTACATCGACGACCCATCACTATCCCCAGATAATCACTAATTTATTTGACAAAAGCTACTGAATTGTTTACTAATTGGTATTTTAAAGTTAAAAATGCATTTGTCTCACATTTAACGTGACATTGTATATTCAATCCTTTGGTTTGGATGTAGACCTGTGTGTCATTTCTAGAAGGACAGATTCCCACAGGCCAAGAAAGCCTTGTAATGCTACAAGCAGCACACCTGCATCTGACCTGGTAACTTTATTTTCTTCTTCACCAGTTAAATGTTGTACAGCACTTAAGATATTTTAACAACACTCACAGTATAGCCAACGAGTTTCTACTACACACTTGACACTTTGACCAGTGACTGAAGTCAGAATATCCCAGAGATGGGTTGAGTTAGAAAAAAACATGAACAAATACTCCACAGTTTCTTAAAAAGTTACAGAATTCGCAGCAACAGAAGCTGCATGTACACCCAGCAAACTTAGTGAATGATTTGTATATACAACAAATTCTGCTTTTCCATTAATTTCCTTGATGTGTCTCCTGAACGACAGAATGTTGAACAGCTACCAGAGCAGCATTATCAAATGCTTGTCTTATACAATTTTGATGAATAATTCAGTTGTTTTCTAAACTTTGCAAAACCATTGCTGAAATATTTGCGTTGGTTTTACCCTTTGTTTCGATTAAATCAACAAATGAATCCACAACCTTTACTTTATTTCAATCGATCATAACATAGTGTAAAACTTGGCTTGTTTGATCCTAATGAGAAAACGCAAAAAAATTTTTATCGCAAAATTAATATAAATTCGTACTGAATAGAAGAAGACATTTAGAATTTAGCAAACGTCTTTTCCAGCTCGATTCTTAGTTAATTTGTTGGCAAAATACGATCCAGTGATACATGAGCATATTCTAATTCTCACCTTACGAAACCAGAAGGCGAAACACGTTGACACACGATGCACTGACGTCACGTTTTGGGCGGAGCTTGAATCCCGCCATCCACCAAAAATATGAAACTGACTGCCGACCAAGTGGGAGAGAGGAGTACTGCAACACCTATTATCAGGGACCTTTTGGGCTCCGGTGTCCATGGGGAGAATCCTGCTCTACTTGTGTAAAAATCTGGCTTGTGTAAGTAGCGGTGTCTCTAAACCCCAGATGCTAACTTACTTGCATCTTGCAAGCAGCTTCACATCTGTTTTAAATATTATGTATTAATAAACTTTTGTACTAGTTACAGTAATATTTGCTTTTTATATTCAATATTTGTTATACAGACTATACTATTTGCTGTTTTTCTTTTTATATTTTTATGTGACTCCATATGGAACTCTATCTGAGCCACTACTAATCATTTTAAGTATACAAACTTTATCCTTTTTTATTTCTGCACAACCATTCTACACAGTATGGGCTTATAATTGTTCTATTTCTTTTGCGCTCCATTTACACTTCTATTTCAAATTATCTAATTCTAAAAAAAATTCCCTCTATTTCCCTTTGATTCGGGTTGATTTTCGAGTGAGTTGCCAGCCTCCTGCCCACAGACTATGAACCTTGTAAAATGTGATATAAAATTATTCGCTTGTGTATTTGAACTATATGATTCGGGAACCGAACAGCCGCACGAACTGGAGACCACCCTGGTGCTTGTTAAGCCTAATTGCTACTTTGTAACAATTTCCACCTAAGTGTTCATCTGGGTGGCCGCAATTCCTATGGATGACTGGCGGGGGTCATCCCGGTCCAGACTCCACAGGTCTGCAGAACCCAGCAAGCCTCCAAGACTGCAAGTAGCACATACCCAGAGTCCAAGATGGCGGCTGCCGACCGAGCTTCTGAGCCCCCACATGTCCAACCCTTATCGGCGCAGCCAGCAAGCGAGCACACCCAAGAGGACCGCATAGCGGCAGCCTTTGACCTTTTCTGGACATGGTGGCAGGCCATACTGGCACAGAACCAAGCAGCCACCCGACTGCCTGTCACCTCTCCTTCAAGTATGCCTGCGCTGAAATGCATCGCTATGCCTCCGACCAACACAAAGCAGCAGAGGGCAACAAGAGCTAGATTTAAAGACCGCAGAACGAGCACCCGACACCACAAGCCTGGGTCCCGACTGGCTCGGAGAGCCACTAAACGCGGCCCGCCGCTCTACATACTAAAATGGCGCACTCGAGGGGCCTATACTCAGCCTACACCAAGCGAAGCCAAGAAAGCCTATCAACACCTTACCCACGTGCAGCGATACACAGCCGCAAACAGTACTCCGAAGGGCTATGCCTCTACATCAAGGGGACATACAAAGACCCACACTCACCAAACCACGGGGAGCGGAGAAGCTGCCACACCACCAAGTATACATCCCCACCACCCAAGGCACTCACGCAGGACCGGGAGGCAGCGGCGGAGTCCTTCTAACCTTCATGACCCGTGACGCAGAGGCCTCATGGGTCTCTCCGGTATGTGCCCGGCCAGTGCCGACCACAGGAGTCGGCTGACTTTCACTGCGGCTTGGACTGCTGCCACGCCACCACGTCCATGCAGTCATGGAGGACTATGTCCCCCAATGTTATTAAGCCTTGTCCCTCTGAGCTAGACAAAATTTAGCACACTTAGATAAGCATGATTGCGCTAACGTTTATTGTCAAAGTAACACTCGTTATAAATGCACCTGTTAGCAATCTTACAACACGTTAAGTTTATTTAGTTTGTGTTCACTCTATTACTTACATGCCAAGTATCCAGCAAGCGTAGGCTATATTGTTTACATATACTTAATGCCAGCCCACAAATATAACGAGGTTCTTGACAACATCTTCCCCCTCAAGTTGGAATAAGTATCACAGTCAAAACGTTAAGCCAACACTATATATCTATCCTTGCTTCATTAGTGTACCTTCTACCACAGGGAATATTAGTCATAGCTTCGATCCACCAATACAGATATCTCTGGTCAAGCTACATGTAGCCTTTCCCTCATGCATAACCTGCAGTTTAACCCACCCTGACATAGAACTAAGTCTATAGTGATTTGTTCCTGGATAATCTAGTTTAATGCTGTCATTAATAATATGATTGGATATAACTATGTCACGCGATTATAATCCATAAAAATGTGCTATGTTTTTTCCACTGCCTAACCACTGTAAATCCGTCTGACACTCTGCATGCTCTAGCTGTTGTGGCATTGTGTGCTTTATGTGATTTTCCATGCACAAATAAAATAAAGAAGAAAAAAAAAAAGTTCACTAGGTCTTCATTTTTGTCAAAATATATTGCCCTCTTTAAAATACTTGGAAAAACTGTAAATGTTCTTTTCCCGAATGTGTACAAAAAACAATAGGCACTCACTACAGTAGTACAGTAGGTGGCAGCAGTAAATCAGCAAGGATTCCCAAAACCTTGAAAACAGTACAAAATGTGGCAGACAATACGATAAACTGCGTCCAAAAAATAGAAATATATTATGAACAAACAGTGTACACAGCACCCTTGTGTTGGAATAAATATATATATTTACATACACTTGTTTGGAATCAGTCAATACAGGTCTTGATTGGTTAGATAACCTCAAAAAAATTGAGAAGGAAAACAAATAATAGTGTAATATATAATTTATATTGGCAATACTTTAAAAAGTGTATAGAAGAGTAACTCACACTTTTCTGAGCTACTATGAGCTCTGCTGTATGTCACTTGGACTGTACAATCTCTCTTAGGATATATGAAGGTTGGTTCAGGTTGACATCCAATTGTACGTCAAATTTCCAGAGCAATTGTATTATAATCCCCAACTATGGTATATAGAGCAATTGTATTATAATCCCCAACTATGATATACAGGATACTCAGGAACCAGGAAAGTAGGTGATATGTATAAACAAAATGATAAAATATGGACTTAAAAATATATATCAAAGAAATGTTATTTAATAAAATAACAATTTTTAAAATTAATATATCTTAAAAATAAGCAGTCAATAAATCAAAAGCTATGGATAAAAGTGCTCCAGTACCACACTTGACGCGTTTCACCCAACAGGGCTTCCTCCCTAATGTGTTTCCTGAAATTATCAAGATTTTATTTGTAGTTTTGTGTCCGCAGTGGAATTCTACTGTTCCACTTTAATCAAAAACTGTATAAGGTATTATCCTTCTCAGGTGTAGAAATATCAGGTCATAATTGCTGTGGCACTAGTTTTGTTTCAACATATTGCCAAAGGCTTGCTAATTCCCAATAAAATTTAATCTGTACTTTATCTCATTTTTTTAATAGAAAAACGTTAGTTTATGGTATTGGAATTATGCTAAGTTAACTGGTGTAGTGAAAATACGTTGTTTGTCAGTTAATTCCAAGATTTTACTATTAACATGACGTAAAGTCATGATTTTATTAATGACACGAGGGCGAGTATTATGCTTCTCTTTTAATTTCCCTCAACAGAGAAGAGAGATATATACAACAGAGAAAAAAACACAACATTGCATAGCAACAGTGCTACCAAACAGCATCAACCACTTAGTATATAAGGTGTAGCACTCCATACTTCTTCCTCTTTCTGAAGCGATCCGAAGACCAGCCAAAATCAACAACAGCAACATCAAACCGAACTGGGAAAAACCGGACGGTAGCCGTACGTCCATCCTCTGTGGAAAAACGGCTTAACTTTCTTTCAAACCTCAGGGCATTAATAGAAGTATTCAAGCTAAAAAAAAAGGAGAAAAATGGTAATATCTCAGTCTTCACCCGGTTGCAACATATACATCAACATATATAGTGACATTTTCATAGAGAAAAAGTCATCGCTATTAGTCATAAGACACAAAGCATCGCCACATAAAAAGGTGAGCAATCTAACTTCTTAAGAAAAAAAAACAACAAAAACGAAAACAAAACATGTAAGTTATCAAATAGAAAAAACCCAATCCACCTCACTGGAAAAACATGTGTATCCCAACAACCCCACCTAGGGAGGGCGGCAGGGAATAATACTCGCCTCCGTGTTATTAATAAAATCGTGACTTTACGTCATGTTAATAGTAAAATCTTGAAAACCTCCGTGATTTCCGAGGGTCCTCGGAAAGGAGCCACGCCATGAGACGAAGAAGTCCCTGATTTATCAGACTGTGACTCTCCCCATCTGGATTGGTCAGAAGAGATGGGTAATCCAGTAACAACTGTGGACAATCTATCGCCATTTCCAATAGGTGGTGAAACCAAGATTGAGACCTCCAGCATGGGGTTATCAGGACTATTGTGCCTTTGCAGCGTCGGAGGTATGCCAGAGTCCGAGCAATCAGGTTGAATGGAGGAAAGGCATACAATTGGCGCGTGGTCCAATCCTGGAGGAACACATCCATCACTATGGCTTCTGGATCCGGTCACCAGCTGAAAAACTGAGGTAGTTGCATGTTCAGTCTGGATGCAAAAAGATCTACACGCAGGGGTCCCCATAGTTGAGCGATCTTGTTGAATACAACTGGTTGGAGTCTCTAATCCCCCATGTCCCTCAGGTAATGAGTTCCAATCCTCAGTGTAGTTCTCTGCGGTCAGACACGTTGTTCTGCAGACAACAATGCCAGAAATCTCGAGCCAAGACTGCTAGGATTCGTGACTTGGTGCCCCCCAGATGGTTGATATATTGAATTGGAAATGAGGCCGCTAGCAGTTCCAGGGAGTGTATATGTAGGAATGATTCGTCTACGGACCATCTGCCTCTGGTGGATATAGAACCACAACACGCGCCCCAACCATGTAAGCGTCTAATTCTCTCACGAGATCTGGGGTGGAACCGAATATCGCTCGCCCGTTCCATTCTTCCATGTGGGTCAGCCACCAGGCCAATTCCTCCCTGGACTCCGTGTCCAGTGAAATGTGCATCTCGTACGACTGGCCACTTCTTAAGCAGGATGCCTTCAATCGTTGCAGATCCCGATAGTGGAGTGGCCCCAGGAAAATCGCCAGGGTGGAGGCGGCCAATAATCCAATGACTCTTGCCAACTGTCTCAGTGATATGTCTGGACGGTTCATCAACCGTCTTATTTCTTTCTTGATATTGGAGATCTTTCCTGCCGGAAGGCATAGGATCTGTTGAATGGAGTCGACTCGTAAACCCAGGAATTCCATTTGTTGTGAAGGTTGGAGAACCAATTTCTCCCATTTCACCAGGAAACCGAGATTCTGCAGGAGATGACAAAGGGACTGTCAGTTGAGCCCGTGTCTGCGAAAGTATTAGGATGTTGTCCAAATATCTAATGAGCAGAATTCCGTGTAGCCTGAGGAAGGCAACCACTGGCTTCAGTACTTTCGTGAAGCACCAAGGAGCGGAGGACAGTCCAGGATGATGCTCCAAGTCGCAGTGATGATACGAACATAAACAGGAGAATCATCGTTGGTAAGCCAAAGGTCAGTGGGTGCCAGAAATCAGGATAAACCAGTAGAGAGCCGAGGTCAGAGGATGCCAGAAGTCAGTGTACACGAAACAACAAGCCAAGGTTAGGAATCAACAGGAGAACACGAAACAGCAATACTTGAACCAGAGTCAATGAACTGACACTGCCCTCAGGGAGATGCAGTGTCTTATACCTGGCTAATCAGTGATCAGCCACAGGTGAACCATGAGTGACAGGAGCAGTCTCAGATCACGTCCAGCCCCCAGTGCTGGATACAAGGCAAGAGTAGAGTTCTGGAATTTCCTGAGCTGTATGGTGGCTCAGAGGCAAAAACAGCAACCCCTGGACTGCAGATTACTCAGGTTCAAATCCCTATTGGGCACTTCTGGGGTGACCTCGTCTGGATGTCGCGGTGAGAACCGTGACAGTACCCCCCCCCTTCAAGAACGCCCTCCGGGCTTGAATAGGTTCTTTGTTATAAATGTACACCTCTTCAGGTTCACTATCTGAATCAAGAGAGTCGTCAAAGTCCCCAGTGTGGAATCCCTTTTCAGCTTGGGGCCCCTTAGTACCAGCTTCTGGTACGTCTGGAGAACAGTCCAAGTCTTTTAAGATCTGGGTACAGGTGGTAAGCACTTCCATTACTTCAACAGGAGCGGTGTTCGCGGCTAACAGTGCTTCTTCGAACATTTCTAGATCTTCTGTACAGACTATAGTGCCATTAGAAGCAAAGGCACAATCCACAGGTAAATCTTTTTTGGGCTGACAGAAAGTAGTGATGGTATTACTGGAAGTAACTTCGGGAGTAGATGCAGGCGGCTCTGGAGCAGGGGATGGAGGTTTCTCAGGCGTATTGGTTGCAGGTTCTTGAGTGACATTGGTAACATTGACTGTAGTAGTTTGGGTACCCTTTTGTGTCACAGAACAGGGACAGGGCTAGCAGTTTCCAGGCTGTCTTGCCAGGATGACAGGATAAGTCCGTAGGGTACCCATTAGAAGAGTTTTTAGCCTAGGTGGACGAGTTGAGCAGAGAGAGACAAA